TGCATTGCTAATCCCAGCGCTGGGGGTAATTGCATTGCTAATCCCAGCGCTGGAGCAATCCTGTGAGGATTAGGGAGGAAGTTTTCGCGTGTAACGCTGGTCGGGTGTGATGGGACATACCTCTGTGGTAGCCCCAGGAATCACCTGGCAATCCTGTGAGAATTCAGGAGGGAGTTTTCGCGTGTAACGCTGGTCGGGTGTGATAGCACATACCTCTTGGTCGGGTGTGATAGCAGTGCTGGCAACCACTGGGCGATCCTGCGAGAATTCGGGAGGGAGCTTTCGTGTGCTGCACCGTTGATGGTCTTGCACAGAAGGAAAGTACGCATCGAGTCGTCCAGTACCTGGGGCCATGCTAGGAACTTCTGTGCTGGGCAATGCTAAGGTTCGTAGTTTTTTGATGGTGCCGCTGCTGGCATCCCCTTCATCGTCCGAGTCCAACGAGATGCAGACAGCCTTTCTCTTTGGTGCTGAAGGTTTCTGCACGAAAAAAAATGAGATATGGGGGGGTTGAATGGAGGTGTTGTTACTTACCATTGGTCTTGAAGTTTCAGCTGGGAGCGTAAGAAGGGCGGGGTCGATTTGCCACTCATTGATGATGACATTCCGACTGGCAAGAAACGCAAGGTCGACTTCCTCACCTGTGGTGGAGTCAACAGACGAATCAAAGGAGTCAAGTAGGCCCTTCTCAATGTTCTCCTCCTTGATCAAAAGACCACTGAATGTCGCTACATGATCTGACATAACTAACCCAAAAGTCTCGCCTGAGTCGATGTCACCAAGCTCAGGAAGAAGCTGCAGCTGAGAGTCAGTAGTTTTTTGCTGGAGCGTGTTGTGAAGCCTCGCTATGTAGTCACAGAGTCGGAGGTGATGTGAACCGTTGGCGAACTTGAGGAATGGCGTGAGTTCGGGCCTGCTGAAAGCCACTCGCACGTTGCGACGGAGGACAAAATCATGGCCGAGGGCAGCGAGCATCGTCACACCGCTTGGCTGTGCTCGCTGAAGGGAATTCCACCCTTTGTGGGATCCCTCAATGCGACTCCCATCAGCTCTGATGCCTTGGACGCTGCGCTCGAGGCACCCTCTGCGGACATGTTTCAACTGTTCTTGGTGAACCTGAGCCATTATTGTCAGTAGCGATCGATTACAGTGGTACTTAGCGAAAAATGAAACTTACTTTCTGCGCTGCAGCTGACCAAACACCTTTGTCTGCCCATTTGCTGAATGCCACCATAAGCCTCCGTTCCTGCTCTGCTCGGTCCCAGTATCGCGCAGGCTGACCTTTCTCGGCATGCGTCTTGAGAATGGCGCCTGTGATGTCAGCAGCGACAGCGCCTCGATAAGGACTTTTGCTCGATTGGAGCATGACAGCGATGTATCTTCAAGTGCACATTGAGTAAGTAGACACTAAGTAGAAGTAGATGCATGGCATTCACCTCGCACTAAAGTGCCAAACATCGAGCTTTGAATCTGTCTCCGGCATTGCAGAGGTCACTGCATTTCGAACTTGGCAGCAATTATCAGCGACCATCATCTTTGGCTGGGGGACGTTTAGAATGTCGTGGTGGTGCTTAAGACCTTGAAGGAGTTCAGTTATCTCTGCGTTCGTGCGCGTCTGGCAAAAGCACTACATATGGAACGAATATGTCAGTGAAAAGCTTAGGTGAGTCATTGTCGAAACTCACCCATGAAATGATCTGATTGTCCTCATTCAAAACACTCAATATCCCGCCTTTCAGCTCCCTAGACTTCTGGCGGTCCTTGTCGGTAAGTGTGGCCTTACTTGCTGCTTTGAACGTGTTGTCGAGTGAGCCGCATATGGCTGCCAGGTTAGAGAATTAGGTTCGTTGGTCACACGAGTCTTTCTGTAAACTAACCTGATGAAGTCTTCAGGTATTCTCCACTCTCCTTTTGCCTTGTGCGTGTGCAGAAGTCTAGGAAGACTTCTGTGATAATCTCACCCGAAATCGATTTGTCAGCATATGCAAGCGGGTCGCTGGCGCTCGAGAATGCCTGGAGTGTCTTCACAGCGCTCTTACTACCAGAGAAATAGTCGGTAAGTCTGCTATTTGCATTGCAGGTGGGCTGTATCTGAAACACTTCAAGGTATTCAAGCATTCGCCGCTTGTGTTCCAACAGGTGGAGCTCTTTGCGGCACACCGAATACGGTAAGAGTGTCTTTCTAAAAAGAAAGACTGCATGCACTCACGTCTGACTCTTTCTTCCAGCCCTGCAGAGGTTGTTGACGGGCGCATCTCCACCAGCAAGTCGAAGAGATCACGCATTAGGGCACAGCGATAGAAAAAGATTGGGATGTTGCCTGTTCGTTTGGTGAGTGGATGCTCCTGACATCTAATGCACGAAACTCACGAGGAATCTGCCAGTGCTCCCATGAACTCCAGTATGCAGCGCTCGTCATTGCAAAACAGTAGCCCTCCAAGTTGGCTGGTTGATGCGCTTGGACATCTTCGGCATCTCCAGGTATGTTCTTGTCGGTTGCCTTCTTCATCTTTGTTGATTCCTTGCATGTATTGCATCGGAGTTGGGCGCTGAGTGCTGTCTCTTCGCAGATAAGACCATGGAGTTCGCGCGGCCCCGTGCTTGTCCACCCTTCCCAGGTGGTCTCCTTGTCAGAGCCGCATCGAGGACAGGTGGCAAGCTGTGGGTAGTAGAACGGGTGAATGACATTGAAGGGTTTGATGTACTGTGTTACTGGCTCTATGTCTTGATGTCCGAGTCCCGAGCGCTTTTGAATATGTATGTAAGACGGGGGCACGAATCGAGGCCCGAGCAATGGGATATTGAGGCCTAACTTATGTGTAGGCTCGATTTTCTTTGATCGAGGTCGACTCTTTTCCCATAGGCACTGCACGTATTCGACGACCTCGGCCTCCCACCTCAACTGAAACTCTGGACATGGGTGGGTCTTATGGTTACGGGACTCTTTCCATATGCTGACTCGTTTCTCGACCTGTGTTTAATCCGTCATTCGACGAGTCAATGACAACGTCTCTGACGGCCAAAAGAAAAACTTACGTTTACAGTCCAGCTTTTCTCAAAGGCACTTTTATCGATAGGCGAGACGGCTGCCGAGTTTTTGAGGAGGTTGAGGACTACTTTAGGCTCGGATATTGACATGTCCTGCGAAGGTGTAGTACTGGTGGAGGTGGAGCCACAGACATGTTTTAGGGGGTTCTGAGTCCTCTTTGACCTTTGACAACTACCACGCTATAACGTCTTGACGTGATCCCCGCTATACATATATTTTCTGCACGCGAGCTACTGCCGTTGAAAGAATATTGTCTGAACTTCTGATTGGTGGGTTGAAATTCCGAATTCACCACATCGTTATTGGAGTGCACACCGATCGCGTAAAATTCAGGGAAATACTAATTACTAGTTACACAGTAGTTCAATACTCAATGGCCCCGCACATCCATATTCCCTCCTGCAAGTCTACTGCAGGGAGAGCTAACACACATACTAGCACACATACAAACGCAGAGAAAGCGCTTGATGTGTTCACCGGCAGCTACGACACTGTCAGAGTTCGGCCGGACATCCAGATTCATCCCGCAGACATTGCGCGCTTCGTGCAAGTCGGATTCGACGACCAGATCAACTCCTTTGCGACCCGCTCGGGCTTTCAGCCCACCGTTATTCAAGACATCTACAAAAATGTGAGTAGCTACAAAGACACGCAGAAGGTGGTGAGGACCATGCGCATTGCTGCCATGGAGTCAGCTAGAGTCGAGATCCAACAATTGAGGGATCAGAGGCTGCGAGAAGATTCAGATTCGGAGGACTTGTACGAGAGGCCAGAGAAGGCCAAGGGCGAGACGGAACCCAAAGAGGAAGAAGATTCAGACTCGGAGGACTTGTACGAGAGGCCAAAGAAGACTAAGGCCGAGACGGAACCTAAAGAGGAAGAGAACGATTGGATTGGCGAGTAGCGAGTAAGCGGCGTTTGTAAAGCTATCATTTAACTATTCAATGTCAGTATGTACCGCAAATACAAAAGATAAAACCGAGTTCAGAATTTCTCACCTTGGGGATATGGCCTTTAGAATGATAGGACTCGGGCCGATGGCTGCTCTTCGTCGAAACGTTGTGGACATTTTGTAAAGCTATCCATGTAACTAACTATTCAATGTCACCAGTCAGTATGTTACCGTAAATACAAAAAATAAACCGAGTTCAGAGTTTCTCACCTTGGAGATATGGCCTTTAGAACGGGCCAATGGCTGCTCTCCGTCGAAATGTTGAGTCTGACTCCCTGAGTTAACCAAGGACGATCATTCTCATAGGACGCAGGACGCCAGACGCCAGACTCCCTGGGATCGTTTTCCGGCTTCGGAAGTCGGACCCCCTGCGAACCCTTGGAATCTTTTCGGCTCGCCTGCAGCGAGCTCCACCCTTGCCATGACCAATTTTTCGAAATATCTTAAGTCCAACATTTGTACATATTTGTTTGAATCATGTGACTTGTAGTTTGAAATGTTTGAGCGAAGTGGCGCCATGTCACTGATCTTCAACTCTCACTCTCGTCTTCGAAGCTTAAGAGGCCTCAAGCTTCATTGCTGGTGTTCATGCACTACATACAATTACAGCTGTGTGCAAAAACCTTGACAGTAGCGCGCGTGACAAGAATACATTAGGAAATAAATAAATAAAAGTCGTGCCGCAATTGTATCGTGCCTTCCCCTAGCTCGTAACTGATTAGTATTATCAATCTTTAATTCCTCTCACCATGCCTTCCATCTTCGATGAGCTTTCTGACACTGCGGTCGAAACCGAACGTGAAACAACCCCAATTGTTCCGATGGACACGAGTCCAGACAACAAAATAGAGCCGACTTCACCTGTGGCTGCGAAAGAGCCTGCGAAGAAACGAGGACGTCCTCGCAAGCAGCCATCCAAGACTATATGTGAGTACTACATGCACCTACAACAGTAGAGTAATACTCAGGGTGAGTTGTGGCTCTCGCGAAGCTTCTGACATGGCCGAAACTGTCCAAGTCAATGTGCACGCAGAACTGAGAAAACCGGCACCCATCACCTATTATCTAACTATGTACTCAATTACCCAGATGCAAAAGGCTGAAAAACAACGCAAATCGATCAACGCATTCTTGGTGCTTTCTCCTGAGCTCGAGTTCGACACAATCAAAGCACAAATTCTTGAAAAGATCTCCGAGGGTTTGAAACCGAAGACAATCACCTTTGAACACTACTCTGTCGCATGGACCATACCACGGACTCAAGCATCTTCTATGCCATTGTGTTCACCTACTGACTATCAATTTCTCCTCGACCTCGCATCGAAGCAAAAGACTCCCTCAGTAAATCTGGTGATCAAGGCTCGTCTACTGAAAAATAAGGTATATGTATGCTTTTCAAGTGCATGTATGTGCTAACATTGTCACAGAAAACCAAGTCCTCAAAGAAGAATAGCAAGGACTCAGATGAGGAGAGCCAAGATAGCGAGAGTGAGAATAGTGATGCTGGCGACGAAGATGAGCGGCCGAAAAAGAAATCCAAGGCTGAGGTAAGTGGTGTTTTGAGTCTTTCATACCCAAATGATGTATAAATGACTGCAGAAGAAGCCCAAGTCAATGATCGAGACCGCACTCAATGTGAAGATAAACTCGAAAATTCAGCTTCTCCAGAATCGCTGGATGCGTTCAAAAGTGGGATGCTCCTCGGACCATTGTTTCGTGCACCCGGAGCGCTCTGATCACTTTCCACTTGGGCATGAACACTTCGCTGTGTGGGCAGCTGCCTGGGTACTCTCTTGATTGTTTTTGTATCAATTCGCTAATTATTCATGCTATTCTCAGCTGTTTGACAGAACAAGGATGATAGTCTCGCGAACTTGGAAACACCACCCAACCACCATAAGTTCAACATGATACCAGGTCATCAACTCGATGAACTGTCTCCACTGCTTCAGCGTCGCCTCACGAATCGTAACCAACCAACTGCTGGCAACTCAACCGCTCCAGTCTTCAACTTCAACATCCCTCCAGAATTACTCAACGTGTTTCGCCCCACGAATGTGCAACCAACTGAGGAACGTGCCCCCCCTACGATGCAAGATCAACACTTTCTTTTCCAGCCTGGTTCACGTCATGGCCCTGACCTCTCCCTGGACGATTTCTGTACTTCGTACAAGCTTAGTGATGGGATCCGAACGAGGCTGCATGAAAACGGCTATACGAGTGCGGAGACACTGACCTTCATTGTAGTTCCAGAACTGCGGGAGATGGGTTTCAAATTTGGTGAGATTGCTGCAATGAAAGCGGCTATGAGACATTGGGGCCAGTGAATTTCGGACACGTTGACCTGCACCAAACCGGTTCGGTGCATGGACGACCAATACTCTCTCATGAGTCAAATACCCTGAAATACCACTATGAAACCCTTTTCCCTTTTATCTGAAGTTGGACTGAGGCTAAGGGAATATTTTTTGCTTTTCTTTTTATTTTTTCAAGTTTATATGCCAGCAGCCTGAATATTTTAGTACATTTAATTCTGCGATGAGTTTTGCTTAGTCAGCCATGGTGATGACCCAGACAGAATCCCACACATGTCAGGTGACTGTGAAAAATATTTCCCACATATGTTGTCCTGGAAAAACATTAGTAAACCCCTAAATACTAGGCTCGTGTCATTCTCACCCTTCCAACAAAGCAAAGCAAAGACAGCCACGCACAGGATTCATATCATGTGACACTTCTTACTCTCCTTCTGGATTTGTCATCAGGGGTTGGACAGGTCACATGACTTAGCAAATACCCAATGACTCACTATGACTCCCTCTGAATATATGACTCACTACGACTCACTCTAGATACTTACTATGACTCACTATGACTCACCTTGCACATATGACTCATTATGACTCTTGATGACTCTTGAATACACTAGTAGCACAGCCACATTTATTGTGTATATAATGACCTCAGTTTTTGAAATAAAAAAGAAGCAGATACCAGCAGGTAGTAGGGTGTTTCTCAGCCCAACTAACACTAAGTTGTGAAGTAAGGTGTGATAAGTGTCAGTACCAGTGTCAAGAACTGTTTCAAGACTGAGAGGAACACTCTCAAGAGACAGTAATACTGCAAGCTCATCATACTGAACGACCCGCTGTGAGCTCACTGTGTGCAACAACCAGCAAGCAAGGTACAGCCACACTTTTATTCTGATTTCTATTATTCTTTTTCTTTTCTTTTACTTTCACCAACCTTTGGTGGTCTTTGTCCAGAAATATATTTCCAAAATATTCGTGTTGTCTCTACGTCCACCTAAGACTCAGTAGTAGCATAGTGGGGAGACTTTAGGAATTGATAGTGAAGCTTGACCTCACTCATCTGAGTAGTGATACTGAGCCAAGATATTCTGTGCCTGCTAGGCTTTAGCCGTTGAAGAGGGGACTTGGTAGTAAACCCAAGGACGTCCGTTCCTGAGTCTGTTTGAATACTCAAAGAAGAGTTCCTTGACAGCAGGTTCAATATTGAGCTAAGAGTTCTACAATAAAGCATTTGACTAGTCTTGACCTTTGATTCTACCTGTTTTGTGCTGAGGGGGTTTATCATTGTAATTCTGCACCATTTCTTTGGAGTATAGTTGGTACGAGGCACTGTTGTTGAAAGGGAACTTGAGGAAGAATCCCGTATATTCTTTTGGTCATCGCCATACTGTCAGGCTGACCATTGTTTGTTTGTTTTCCTGTCAAGTCCATAGATTGGATTGACCATCGTATTACTGATCTTGCAGAAGTATCCTTAGCTGAACATACTTTGGGTAGTATACAACTAGCCACCCACGAACGACCACGTTATCAGTCATTGATATTTGTCTGAATCGCTGACCGTGGAGATATTTGTTTTATAGGTGTTTATCTATAGATCATCTATCTAAGAAGACAACGTCAATGCTTGCTCTCATTTTTTGTACCTATAGACATGCTCAACATTCCTGTAATCATACACCTCGTGCTTTCCAAGTCATACATTGTATTGTGTTTCGTGTAATCTAGAAATAACCAGCGTGCATAATATACCCTTCAGCATCAGAGGAAGTTATCACGTCCATTGCAATGTACATGTCATATATGATACCATTAATGTCATCTGAGAAGTAATCTTGGTTACGACGAATGAAGGCCTTGATCTTGGAGAAAGCTTCTTCAATTGGGTTGAGATCGGGGGAGTAAGGTGGTAGATACTCGAGTCGTACACCTGTCAATGCTCAATGAGTGAATATAAGTGGTGCCTTGAACTACCTACCAGCTTCGCGAATGAGTTCTGCCACACCTTCTCCATGGTGAATCTTGGCATTGTCCATTATGAGCACGCTCAATCTACCTGGGTATGGTGTACATAAGGGCAGCTAGTAGAATATTAGAGATTGTTCAGCTTGTAGTGATAAAAACACTTACAACATCCCCTTCAATAAATGTTTTGAAACTTGCTGTTGTGAATGAGCCCTCGACGACAGAGATGGCAATCATGCCATCAACAGTGAGCAGCCCAAGTCCAGATAGACGATGCCCACGAACGAAAACTTGCTTCTTCACAGCACGAGTACCCATCAATGACCTCCCATTGCTTCTTCCCAATGTCCTCTCGTCCTTTGATGTCTCGTCCAGGAATCCAAGCTCCTCAGGTTCATATTGTGCCATTCTCCTGATAAAATCTGCCCGTTTGTTCTCGTTTCTTTCTTTTGCAATCTTCTTCAGCTTTTTGCGGGAAATTCCTGCGCGGGAAAGCTCTCGGTAGATGGTCGTGTAGTGAATGGAAATGAATCTGTTATCGCTGAGTAAGACCGGTAGTTCATCGAGGAACCAGTCAGGACGGTGGTTCACGAGTCGAAGTAGATAGTTCACATCATCAAAGGTGAGTACTCGGGGACGACCAGGAGGACCATAATTGTGTCGAACAACATCCCCTGTTTCACGCCAAAGTTTGAGCATGCGCCAGAATGTGCTTTCTGACAAGCCGACACAGTCAAGTATTTGTTCAAGAGACAGTATGTTCTGTTCATGAAGCTTGACAGCCGCGAGTTTGACATCACGACTGATTTTTCGGAATGGCATAGTGTTGAATGTTGAGCACCGCTGTGATTCATGCTGTTAAGACTTTATTTTATTTTATTTCCTAATGTATTCTTGTCACGCGCGCTACTGTCAAGGTTTTTGCACACAGCTGTAAGGTGCGCAATGATTTTTTTTAAATTCTAAACTTGTTTGAAGCAAACCTATTTATTCTAAAAACTATTTATTCTAGGATGTTCACAGTGAGTGAGTCGGTCCGAGTTCGAGTTCGCCAAGTTGTTGCCCGCTGTTCGCAGTGAGTGAGTCTGTCGGTCCGAGTTCGAGTTCGAGCCACGCTGATCCAAGCTGTTGTCCGCTGTTTGTAGTGAGTGAGTTTGTCGATCCTCATTCGAGCTCGAGCCACGCTGATCCATGTCGTTGCCCACCATTCGCAGGAAGTGAGTTTGTCGATCCTCGTTTGAGCTCGAGCCACGCTGATCCATGTCGTCGCCTACCGTTTGCAGGAAGTGAGTCTGTTGATCCTCATTCGAGCTTGAGCCACGCTGATCCATGTCGTCGCCCACCGTTCGCAGGAAGTGAGTCTGTCGATTCTTGAGCCACGCTGATCCATGTCGTCGCCCACCGTTCACAGGAAGTGAGTCTGTCGATCCTCGTTTGAGCTCAGAAGGACGCACCTGCGAAATTCCACTGTATGATGGCCGACATCTATGAGGCTGCACAGTGAGTTCCACTTAGGTAGTATTGCCTCGATGCTCACTCTGCTTGCAGGAAGTTGCGATACAGCAGCGCCGCTGCTGGTGGCCATGCTGCTGAGCTCGAAGCATTCGAGTTACTTGACCTCGACAATATGGAAGAAGACTGAATCATCCCCTGCTCATTTTCATAGTGTACAATACGGAATCGTGAAGCTGATACATAGTCTCCCAGTTGGTCATAGCGCGCGCTGTTATTTAAATTAGCCTACTGCCCATATACCCATTTCTAATCAAATTTAATTTTGTTCTTGTATCTTATTCTGTCTGACTCGGTTGGAACCCTCGTCTAAGATAAAAAAAATCAATTCTAAAAGTCATGCTAATGTGTTTGAATTACTGAAAATAGTTGCTAATTCTTGTGTTTTTATTAGGGGGTAAAAAAACTGACCTAAGCTAGCTAAAACTCGAATTTGTAAAATTTAGATATAATAACGCAGGATTAGTTCGGATTAGTTCTAATGTTACATCTTTAAGTAAATTTGTCTGGGGAGGGTTTTCCTGATGATAACGTACCTTTCTGCTATATGAGGCGCAGCAATCACCAAAAGTCCAGAAAACAGGTATTACCTTATTAGGCTGACGGTCACGAGATAAATTTTCTGGGGTTATGACACACCGGGGGTTTCAACATTTTACCTCTTGCAAGATTTCAATCAAAAGCAGATCTGGACCTGGCTAGACCATTCCAGACCTAGCCTAGAGCGTTCCGGAGCGCTCTGGATTACCTTTAGAATGTAATTTCACTGGCGGCAAAAGGTGATAAAATGTCAGTTTCCCCGCTGTGTGAGTGTTGAAAAGATGACGCCAGTGCTCGATCATTATGACATCGAGTGTTCGAAGCTTACCGTTGTTCCCGTAAGTGCTATGCAAATGAGATCATCAGCAAACTAAGATAGGCCTCAAGCAGTTTCCACAAACATCACGTGATGTGACTTGCTGTGACTCTACTTGTGATTACTGCATTTGGTACTGGGACTCCAGAAGCATACTGGCAGCGCCGCAGCGGTGATACAGAACAAACTTGCAGGATTTACAGTATGTAATAAAATTAGTAGGTACATGTTAATATGAAGACTATGTTTAATTTAAGTGTGCACTCTCGAATTCTGACATTATTGCTGAAGGGAGTACACGATGGCCTCGGTATTGCTTTGCAGCCCAGGCAGCTTGTTTGCCATTAAGTCCTTTATAATAAGCATCCATGAAACGGCGTGATCTGATGGCAAACCTAATTTTCATTAGTGCCATCTAAGTACACATCAGAAAAAGCATGACACTTACTTTTGCATGCTGGTTAGAGGAACTGCATCCAGTGATTTTATGACATTATGTTCCAGATTAGCTTCCCCAGATGATAATGGGTAGCAGCGATATAGCCGCTTTGCATACCCCCAGCATTGTTCAATAAAGCTGAGCTCACAATGAAATTTTGGAAGGAAGAGCACCTTGAAGCCCTTTAACCTGCACACCCTCTCCAAGTTTGACTCGACATTAACAAAATCTGGCTGATTATAGAGAATTCGGCAACAACAACAAGAAGTGGAACCACGAGGACAGTTGAAATCCTTGCACTGAGCCTTCTTTTTGCTGACATCGAAACCACGCTCCTCTAGAATTTTGGCCATTCCCTTGAACAACCCAGTGTTTGTGTGACCCTCAGGAAAATAGAACTCCTGAGGGGCACCATTAAAAACACCATTAGCGATACAAACCTTTTGCATCAAAATCTTCCCATCTCCACCACAGGTTTGTTTTCCTGTGGCATCCCTCACTGGAGCACTGACCCCCCAGTTCTTGCAAGTCTTGGGCATGTTTCGAGCACTTAATGCATCATCAGCCCTTTTAAGGTGTGTCGTTGCATTGTCAAACACAAAAACGTGGTCATCTTCTGGGTAATCTTTCTCCAGAATTGTCATTGCTTTCTCGGCATGTTGAAGAATTTCATCATTGGTGAAGTACCCATCCCTCCCCTTTCCCGCCCTAAAGAGCACACGGGCAGATTGATTCCCATCACGAGACCGCAACCAGCCATAATCTGCTGAAACGAAATCTGCGACCATGAGAGAAGATCCCTCACCCTTTGGTTGCGGAGTTGCCTTTTCTTCTTTGTGGACCCAACATTTTTTGCGCTGATCATTGGCATAAAAGATGGATTCGTCATGGAACCACACAACAGTGCGCCGCCCGGTCTCCTTATCATCCTCCAGCTGCATAACATCAACAGAAGACCATTTTCGAGTCTTTGGTTCCAATGCATACCACATTGGCAGGAATTTATTCTGTCGATATTCAACTACATCCTCTCGTTCATGGCCATCAACATATTGTCCATTTCGGGCTGTAGTCCATCGAAATCCACAGTTCTCCATCCATTGTTGTGCGGTTGCCAATGAAATACTTTTAGTGAGCTTGAAACATTGCTGTACATCAGGCTGTGCAAGATAATCAATAACTGCTGTTGCAGAAATATATTTTCCGAGTGACTGGAGATGAACCAGTAACTCCTCCTTAAGATCTTCATTATCAATCCGCGATCTCGTCGAATTGCCACCATACTTTGCCAATGGCAAGTTTTCACGATCCAGGATGTATGACTTCGACCATTCCTTCACCTTTCGTGACATGTAAGTCCCCTTTCCAATGAATTTTACAGTCTGGAGTGCTGCAGCTGACCATGCAGTGCCAGTTACGAAGGCCCACAGGAAGTACTCCATCCATGTCAAGCGCTTTTTCAGCATGGGGCCAAGGTCAGTTGGTTTGTATCCATGTCCCTTGAAGTTCCGGTGCGGGTAAAGTAAATTCCTAAGGTCCGCTAATGCCAGTGTGGCTGCGCCAACTGTTGGCGGCATTCGTAAATCACCCAAATGTTGTGGTGCTGTGGGACAGGTATCGTGATGGCACAATGGCAGGCCCTCATCATCTACATCTTCAACAATGTTCTCGTGATGGCTGCATGAAGCCTGGGTGGTCTGTGGTGAGGGACGTGCCATTGTGGTGTCGAAGTCCATTAATGAATTGTCATCAGGCAATCCCATCATTGTGGCTGCGTGCTCATCGAAATCCTCAAAGCCTTCAACCGGTCCCACATTACAGTCACCAGCACTCTCGTGGTCTCGGCAATCCAAATCCAAGTTAGACTCACACTCTGATTCTGCCGCATCACTATACTCCAAATCCATATCCACTGAGTCCTGCAATGCAAGTGAGGATTCTTCGGACAAATTTGCATTTACTTGAAGGTGGGTACTGTGCTCCGAGTTCATAGTAGCTGTGTGGTTGTGCTCTGAGTCCATAGTGGTAGTGTGGCTGCGCTCCGAGACCATAGCGGCACCATTGTTCTTGAGTTGCACAAAAACCTGACCTGAGGCTGACAGAACAATCTCAACTGGGAGCTTAGACTTCGAAGGTGTAGAATTGAATGGAAAAGTGGTTTCACAGCCTGAAGCTACTACAGAACTCGAAGCTATGTCTACTGGATGACTCTGCACAGGCATGAGCATTGATTTCAAAAGTGAGTACAATTGAAAACTCACATTTTCTTTATCTACTGATATTTTCCGCTTTTTTTGCCTGACTCCCTAGGTTCTCGATCGCAGACTGGACTTTTCGTGACCGTTTTGGCATTTTGGCAGGTTTCAGTATCAGGCCGATGGTAGGTGAAGCGGAGTCCAGAGTGTTTGGGGGCTTTATGTACAATGTATGCCTTAAATCTTGCTTGTGTTGCCATCTCCTCCTTCAATTTCACACAAATGGTAATTCTGGAACGGATGATTTGTCGAAAAGTACGTATACTACAACTCTTCCGTTTCTGTTTTTTTATACCTTGTCGCCACGGACATCCTATACACATTCATTGCTTTTGTCACGTTTCATCACACTTTGTCACGTGATGTTTGTGGAAACTGCTTGAGGCCTATCTTACTAATTTGGTGACAAAGTCTCACAACAATAACAAATAGATACAGAACCACACAAATGTCACAAACAGCACAAGCCGACAAGCATTTGACATTACAAATCGATTACAAACTTCCACAAAGTGACACAAGGCAGCACAAACGCACAAGCTTACAAAGTATGTAGCGCCGAAAACAATATGGTAATAGAAGTGCGAAATATATATATACCTGCCTATCAAACAATTTTGTGATAAGTGCCCTGTTCTAAGTACTACTAGTAAAACATTTTGATGCGGCTGGCATTGTTTGAGAGGATGAATGACTCGAACAAGAGGTTGTCTGTCATCATGTCAATGGTAACAGTAATAACAAAAACAAAAAAACGAGCATTCACCACCAAACCTGAGTCTGAGCGAGTGAATGTTGTGATACCGCTCTCCTTGCGCTTGATGTGCATGCATCCAACGTTGAGATCCGCGCTCAATAAACAGCAGTTTGCTGCCTCCACACGATAACACCAGAGGTTGACGAGTATAGTCTGATGTTCCAGAATGCAATCAGCCAGATGTTTCTCAGCCTCACACACTTTCTGTTTGGCTTTAGCTGCCTCCAAGGCGAGGTCAGAGTGGTTGCATCCTTCAGACTCGAAAAAAGAGGAGTTTGCGTCCTGCCAAAGACGAATAAGAAGAATGCACCGCAATAAGTAATCCAGAGAGCACACCTCACAAGGTGAACATTTACAGAAGAATCTGTCTCCCCTTCGATTGAGCTTGACGAGTTGCGTCGGTGAAAATGAAGCACTGGCTGATGAGTTTTTTGAGGGAATGTGAGGCGATTGGGAGGCATGTTTTTAAGAGTAGTTTTACAGTGACTGTATTCAGATAGTGAAGAAGAGGTTTCCAAGTCGAAGTTGTGAATGATATATATGTGAATGATATAAGGATATGATGACACTTGGAGTAAACAATATGTTACGACCATGTGAATTCTTTCTGAATCTGATGTTGACACCAACATGTCCAAAGTGCAGGAAAACGTTCACCAAGGACAGCAGCATTACTTGACATCTGAGCCAACCCCAAACGATGTGCCACAGCTACATGCATGACATGGTTGATATTTCACAATTTACGGAGGTTGAATTACCATGGCGCGATGTCTCACCTGTCACTCCAGCTGAAGAACTTGACGAGTCCGACACTCATGATCAACTACAATTTAATGATAACTACTTTGGTAACATCCACGATGACTTTGGTACACTTGACGATAGTTTTGGAATGGCCAGAGAGTCTTTGGAGGACAAGTATGAGGGTGCCGGGACTTGTTATTCGTGAAATGGCTTAACCTTTTTGGATATCTTCGACGCCGATGAATATGCGAAGTACAGGAAGGATAATCTATTCTACCCTTTTTCATCCAAGGGAGAATGAGAAACTGCTGACTATCTCCTTCGCTCACCCCTTAGCATGGCAGCTATTGACGAATTTTTGAAGCTTCAGATGGTATGTACTACTCGCACTGTGACACAACAATTATAACTTATTTTTTCAGATCCAAAAATTAGAACTGTCATTCAGCAACGCTAGAGAATTGCGTAGCCGTGCCGAGATGCTCCCTAGTGGACTGAGCTGGAAGTGCCAGACAATTACCTTGATTCATCCTACGAAATCTCTGATCCATTTATTCTGGAGAGATCCTGTTGAATGTTTGGAAAGCCTTTTCAGTAATCCTCTGTTTCATGATAAACTCGATTTCATCCCTCGTCAAGTGTACACAATGGCAGCGTGGCTTTTGAGGGTATATTCTGAATGGTTAACAGGTAATTCTGCATGGGACATGCAGGTACGTGCAGGCTGAGTTTGGTCATTTTACGTTGTCTTACTATCATTCTTGCAGAGTCAATTTCCCAGAGGCGCCACGATTCTCGGTACCATGTTATCTTCCGATAAAACAAATATTACCACCATGACTGGTGCCAGGATCGCCCATCCGCTTCTTCTCAGCCTCACCAACATACATATGCGTACTTGTACGAAACTCTCATCCAAAGCCTTCATGCTCACGGCTCTCCTCCCCATTCCAAAGTACCTACACCCCAACCAATGGATGCATGGCATGCTTGAAGAACACCTGATACACGAGTGCCTTTTGATTGTCCTAAAGCCCTTGATGATAGTGGCGGAAGTTGGCATTATGATGTCTGATCCAGTGGGAAATGTTCGACATTGTTTTGCACCTCTTGCAGCATACATCGTCGACACTCCTGAGGCAGCCATGCTCACGTGCGTGTGCGGGAAGACATCTCCCTTCACCATGGCTTCATATCTGCAGTTCGGAGATCATTTTCGGCACCCTGCTTGTACATGTGCTATTACTCTTGCTCAGCTTGCCAGCATAACAGTTGATCCAGATGATCTCGAGGCGTATTTTGAGGCGTGCGCTGAACACCAGCTAAATGGTGTTCATGCACCTTTCTGGCAGGGCTTCCTGCATGCTGATCCCTCAATCTTCCTGATGCCAGAACCACTACATCACTGGCACAAGGAATTTTACGACCACGACCTTCAGTGGTGTCTCAAAGTTGTTGGTGCCTGGGAGGTGGATTTTAGGTTCTCCATATTGCAGCCCATCACAGGTTATTGCCACTTTGCGGGTGGAATTTCCAAACTTAAGAAAGTCACAGGCAGAGTTCACCAGGACATTCAGCACTACATCATTGGCCTGATATCCAGTGTAGCTCCTTGTCACTTTGTGACTGTGATACGTGCTCTCATGGATGTCCAATACTTGGCACAGTGTCCTGCACCCAACGATGACTTATTATCGTCTATCAACCGATACCTTTTGACTTTCCATGAACATAAGGACATTATCATGACGTTGGGTGCACGGATGGGAGGGAAGAAGCCGATCGACAACTGGTTTATCCCTAAGCTAGAACTCCTGCAGAGCATCACCTCCAGTATGCGCAAAGTTGGCGCCCTCATCCAGTGGTCCGCGGATGTGACTGAACACGTCCATGTGTCTGAAATTAAGGATCCTGCACGGCGCACAAACAATAACGATTACGACCCACAGATATGTCGCCACCTGGATCGTGAGGAGAAACTGCGATGTTTCGCAATCGCTACAACACTCAAGAGCCATCCTGAATCCCATGATCTTTGTTATGATGCTCCTGAGGAGGAGGAAAGGGAATTGGACAATACTGATTATGATGAACGAGAACCACTTGATCCATGGACTGCCCTCCTTGAGGAGATGAATCATACATGCATCACTACAAATTATTTCAGCAAAGCCAAGAAACTTGCTACCCTTGGCCACAAAGAACGTCTTTACCCTCCTCGAACGTTTATTGGTAGTACCACTGCTATACATCTCAATTATAATCTGTCTCGCAGTGGAGTCAAACTTGAGGACATTTCTATTGACTACAACATACCGGATCTGCACGGCATGCTTTCAAACTTCTTGCAGTGTGATGCAAGGGACTGAGGAGTAGTTCATGGTGTCGCTTTGAGAGGAAGACCATTGATTGATCATCCTTCAATCCTTCCATTCGATCGCATTCAAGTCTGGCATTCGGTTAGCCTACAGCAAACATCCTTCCATGATTCTAGTATCGTACTACCAGCCCAAACTATACATGCCTCTCCTTCGGGCCCTGGATGGCCCAAAGGCCAACAGGATTTTGTCCTGGTCAACATAGACAGTGCTGCTGAATGGCCCAAATCAGGCCTGACAGGTTAGCACACTATTATTTTATGTGTTTACCCACCTATACAAAATTGACGTACCCCTCAAAGGTCACACGATCTGCAAATTATACCTTATCATACATCCAATCCCTCGACGAGGTTTTCGCATCAAATGGCGAGATCAATATCTCTGATATGTACAATGTTTGAACATTGGGTCAATCAATTTGGCCACCAGGATGCATACACTAAAATGTGCCAAGCATGCTGACGGCTCTCCTGTTGGTAGTTTCATTTTGTTGAATCAACTTCATACATTCATCAGTGTTATCCCCCGGCTAGGAGATGTGGCAGATGCACGATTAATGAAAGCAACATCTTCGCATTATTCGCACACATTTTTCTTGAATAAATATTTCGACAAAGAAATCTATGATGTCATTTACTATGCTTCACGATGATTGTATTAGTAGATACTCATCCACTCACGCTAGTATTATAATATTGGCTGGTTGAATTGATTCCTTTGGTTGGTACAAGAATAGCAATATCTTTACTCCATGTAGGACAAATTTAGAACATCAACATGGTGCATTGTGCACTGTGCAAGGTCCAAGTGCAACATTGGTGTGCAAAACATCTTGAACATGTCATCGGCATTGTCTTTTACCAGTCATTATCTGCTTGCAACGGTCACAAGCTCCATACCCGCTGGTGGTGATTTTTTACCTTGTTTGAAGGAGGACATGGACTTGCTGATGAAAAATGAACTCCTACCTGTAGGTAAGGACAGTGTGCTCGCTGGAGGCAGACAAGTCTTATGGGAGGAGGGGATTAAAGAGAGGAAATCATCTATCCTAGACGCCCTTATTCCAAAATCAGACCTCACAACCAAAGATATCTTAAGCATCAGATATATCAAAAAAAAGGGTGAAACACTCTTACAGGGAGCATCTTTATTACAGGACTTGCAGACTGGTTTACAATGGAGGCTAGATGGTGCCTTTTCAGGATCAGTGAAGAAGTTGAGGCAGTGGTGGGAGTTGCAGAATGACGAGACTGATGCTACAGACCTGGAGGACATAGATGAAGATTCAATGATGGATACAGACGGCAGCTGGTCGCAGCAATTGTTCTATGCAGGACAAAAGAGACCAAACCTTGCTGTCAAAACATCTGAAGAGAAATGCTGGGAACACCTCTTGTGGAGTATATACTATGCTATGCGCAATATCATCCGTGAGGCCACCGACGAATACTCAGAATCAGACTCACCAAACCCCCTTCCCTTCAACACTGTACCAGAACCACGGTACTGGTCCTCAGAATTCTCCACCACTCCCATTCCAGATGCCACCGACTCGCGCAAGCCTGATCTAGTCCTCATGGACTATAGGCTTAAATCAGGCAAAAAGACCTGGGCAGACGTTCTCACCAATATCGAGATCACCAAGTCAGAATTGGTCCAAGGAAAAGACATACCAATATTCTTGGGGGTCGCTATGAAGGGTTATCTCATAATGTGAGAGCAACCATGACACTGTTTCGTCCTTTTATTCAGTACTGCAAACCTCCAGCTCCGTGCTCACTATATGGACTGCTCTGGAATGATAATCTCATAACCTGTTCCAATCGGTTCAAGTGCCGCGCGTTTCGTTGATGTCTTAAACACCATAACATTATCAGATCTATCTTCCCTTGGGTTCGATCCCACTATTCACATTTGTACCGACCTGTGCTCCACTGGTTCTCACAGTGTTCTCCCTGATGGTGTAGATTTTATGCTGGAAGGAGCAAAAGGCTGGGTGATTGACAATGACAGTGAGGTGTACTGGATCATGGATATCTTATGGAAGAGTCGTGGTCTATTTTTGCGCGGGACTATTTGTTATTGTGTTCAAGACCAGCATGGATCAGAGTTTGTACTGAAGGATTGTTGGGTTGACGCAGCAAACCTGGATCATGAAGTAATGCTCCTCCAGGCAGTCGATGGAATTCCAAATGTGGTCACCCTCAAAAAATATTGGGATGCTCAGTACGCTGGACAAACAGACTGCACATCAAGGATTCGTGAACACATTTGTGAAGACCTTCCAAAAGCGCCAATATACTCGAATAAGATTCATCGTCGCATGCTATTGACCCCTTGCGGACTTCACTGACGACCTTTAATTCCATCCCCGAGGTAGTCAATGTTTTCCAAGACCTTGTCATTGGTGAGTTTCTTTTGTGTTTGTCAAAGTTCTTTGCAATAACAGCTACTGCCAGCCCATGAAGCAATGGTCACCCAGCAGAACATTCTACACAGTGACCTCAGTCCCAATAATATAATTATTCACGACAGAAAGGGTTATTTCATTGACTTTGATCATGCCAAATTCCTCGAAAAAAATGCAGTGGTAGATTCACGTGGTACTGTAAGTTATATCTCAATATATTTCTTGCTTTTTTCATGTCTCATGCTTCAACCTCGAAAGGGAACTGTACCATACATATCCTCCCATCTTCTAAAGCTCATGGGAGATATTCTGGTTCCATCCATGATCGACCACAGAGCCTCAGATGACCTGGAGTCGCTCTTTTACATCTTCCTCAAATTTACTATGACATATGAAGGACCTGGTGGTAAAGCGTCGACTGAGGGAGTGCAACCTGTCAATGCCCCTAGGTGGCACAAAGCTTACCTGATGATGGACCAAGACGGTCTCGGGACTAGCGGATCATTAAAGAAAGATTTTCTCATGGAGAAATGTCCGCATTACGAACCAACACCGTACTTCCAAGTTTGCCACCCTATCCTTGAAGATTAGTGCAAGGCAATCGGGGATGTGCTGCACGATGAACAGGACTTATCTCACCAGGAAGTCCTCATAATTATATGGCAGGGTCTGAAAAGAATTCAGAGTCTTCCAGGTACCTCGACACCACTAAGTGTTGCATCTTTACCAGCATCATCTGTCACCACTCCTCCCCATACTTCTCTCCCTATCCCCACATATACTCGTCACCCTACTTCTCTCTCCCCCATTTCTCTCCCTTCCCCCACTATAGAAGCTATGACACAGGATACTCATCCTCAGCCCTGTTGTTCAGGGCAGAAAATGCAGATGCTGCCTCCTATTTATCCCACAGCTACCTTCAGCTTTATTTTCTTCACTCCATGCCTCTCCAGAAAAGGGCCAGACAAGGTTCTCCAGGTGGTAGGTCAAGGAAGGGAGCTAAGGCAACACAAGCAGATGTCAAACCTGCTCGATGTGTTACAAGTAACATCGGCTACATGGCCCCCCTATCATTTTTCCCCTTCGTCCTCGCCCTCGTATGCCTCCGGCTCGTACTTCTCTACCGACTATCCGTTGACCGGATCCTCGGGACCGTTCCCGTCCCTCATCCCCCTCCTATCGCACCAACGTGCGCACGTGCCTTTGGGCTATGACTCGTTCTGACTCGTGCCACCAATGTGGCTTTCCTTATCTTGTCTTATCTTTCCTTTGACTCGTGCATGCTGCACATTGTATCATTTACCGTTGGCTCGTTCCAACGTTTCTCGGTCTCATTCCGCATTCGACCTTACATCACTAATCAGGCTCTGCTACTAGCGTACCTATACCCTTTCCATTTCCCCTTTGCCCTTACCTACAGTACAGTAGCCTTGCCCTTAACCCTTTCCACTTAGTATAAGTAGTCGGTCACTCTGTACTAGATTCCCTAACTTGAATCTACTCAATCTTCCCTCAAACATACTTCTTTCCGAAGCCCCCTCAGCTTCGGTCTCTTGTATCTTTTTCTTAGGTGCTCATCGCGCCTAAGTCTACCTCGATCGACTACCTCATCGTTCGGACAAGACTGTCCTTACTTTGAGAACGTCAGTGACTTTGAAGACATCCGTCTTAGAAGTCACGTGACACGCGCGTCTCTGATATCTGCCGACTCGACGTCGCCAGTCTCAGTTGCTACACCGGACCCTTCCGGTTATGTCACGAACGTTAGCGGATGACGCCCCTCTTAGGGCTCCGCATAACAGATCTATTTGAGTGCGTAACAAAAGATTCAAGTTTTCCTTTTTGCGCCCTGCCATCTGCACGGCCCATTAACCGACAGACACCACGACTACCTGGATCCCGAAGTACCCTTGGGAACGTGATCCCAACACTCTGGACTCCGAAGAAGAAGAATCGGAAGAAGACCACACGTCCTCCGACGAGTTTCCCGACGAACAACCGTACGGCAACCTCAACTCGAACCCTGGAACAAGAATGTCCGGAGGCCCCACCCAACAACCGACAGTGGTCGTATCCAGACCTGAACTAAAGGCTGGAGTACCACAGAACTATGATGGAAGCATCGATGATGCCGAGCGCTGGATGTACTCGGTGGAGACATACTTCCTCATCAACTCGACGATCTACAGCTCCGACCAAACCAAGGTCGCTGTTGCACTCCAGTACATGAACGATGGAGACGCCCGCTGTAGAGACTCGTGTGTCTCATGGTCTGATATGACAGCTTTACACTAGGAAGTACATAGCATGAACTTGTAGTGTCACTCTGTGCGCTACCCGCAGCTATCTCTATATGAGGCGCAGCTTTCCCGCGCAACGCGCGCCATGCGCGCACCATTCCCGCGCTTCACGATGTATGCGCGCGCACGTGTTCCCGCGCTTGCGCGCCCTTTAGCGCTAGCCATCCAGATGCATCCATCCACTGTCCACCAAGCTCCCTAGTACGTATATTTCCATTTCCTTTATTAGCATAGTTCCACCTTTATTTTTATCATGGATTCTCACTCATATATATCTTTACATACCTACTCGGTAGCGCTTCGGCTCCGCATGACCGCGCTTAGGCGCGCTATATAAGCGCCAGCAGTACATACTACACTTTACCTTACTTTACCTCCCATTTACTTATTACTACTTACTTACTACTTAGCAGAACATAGTAGAATTCTATCTGTTTACACCTTGCATCTCTCTTCTCTTATCTAGTATCATATCATCACTTAAGTCTAACCTCTCTGTTGTTTCTGCATACGCACGCACGCTTTCCCGCGCTTCGCGCTAATACGCGCGCGTATTCCCGCGCCTTGCGCGCACCTGCGCTTTCTCGCGCTTCGCTTCAGCGCGTACCTGTAGATCTTCGCTGCACTCGCTTCCCCTATAGGGTCGAACGCACTTGCCATCTCAAGTATCGCAGACTAGGCAACGCACGACCTACAACATTTATAGATACAGCTAGGAGCTATCTTTGTTCCTGGCAGTATTGTTGTTTCTACACCGCGTCTGGGCCGACACCTTCTACCGAGCAGCCTTCGACAAACCTACTGTCGACTTCGGTAGCTGGAAGGACTTCAAGAAGGCGTTCACCGAATCCTTCCACCCGGTTGATCGGATGACTGAGGCTCTAACCAAGCTTCATGGTTTGAGCCAAACCGGCGACGTAATGCCCTACATTGCGACGTTCAAAACTCTGTCATCCACTGCTAGTCTCAAGCAGGACGTCGCCCTCATCCACTTCTTCGAACGAGGGTTGAAACCAGGACTTCGGACCGCCATCTACGGGAAGGAGGTCGTCCCCACCACCATCGATAAATGGTACACTGCCGCGATACAGTTGGAAGCCAACTACAAGCGATCAAGAGCAGTTGTGTCCAACAACAGATCGGTACGCCCTTCTGGCCACCGGCATGTCCCCAAGCCTCAGGTCCGCCAACGCGATCCTGATGCTATGGACGTCGATCGCTCCCTCACGCCTGAGGAGCGACAGAAGTGCTTCGATAAAGGCCTTTGCTTCAAATGCAAAGAGAAGGGCCATCGAGCAAACGACTCCCGGTTCCACCCGAAGGTGCGCCGAGGAGACAAGAACGACGAAGAAGACAAAGGCAAGAAGCCAAGCAAGTCTGGCGTCCGCCAGCTTGACAAGTCTTCTGACGAGGAAGACATGGAAGTCAACCTTGTCAAAAGAAAGGATTTTTAAAGAGAGGGCTTGTCGAACGGTCAATTCCCTCTATCTGCGCATTGTATACTAAAGCTGTTGGTAAATCCAACGAGTTTCGTGTCCCGGTGACACTTTTCTCTTCTTGCAGTGCCAAAACCGTTAAGTCGACCGCCATCATCGACTCAGGGGCAGGTGGGACCTTCATTAGCTATGACTTTGACAAGCGAAATGGGATCCGGACCCACCTACTCAAGAAACCCTTCCGGATCACCACAGTAGACGGAAGCCCGTCCTCGGCAGGACAGGTGACCCAATACTGCATGCTATTCATTCGTCTCGATCGGAGACTTATGTATGGAAAGTTTAACGTAACGAAACTTTCCAAGCATGATGATCTACTTTTTGGAAAACCTTGGCTTAGTGCCATGATGCCCAATATCGACTGGAAGGCCAACACGATCTCCCTGCCTGCGACCAATAGGTCAAAGGAGGTGGAGAGGGAACTCAACACTTCTCGACGGGAAAGCAAGGCCAAGCCATATCTCTTTCGTGGAGAAAAAGCTGTCCTAGAAGAACTCGACGACGAGGATTTTTCACCCCTCAAATGACTCCCCGAAGGCACCCAACATTGCCTCGAAGAAATCAAGAAACGCAAGAAGCGTAACAAGAAGAAGACGGCGCCAATCATCGTGCCCTTCGAAGACACCGACTTCAATACCATGGACGATGTCTGGGTCGGACAGACCCATCTCGCGGATAAAGTTGAGGAGATCTCCACTTATCCCCTCACTGACGATGAAGTTCTAGTGGAATATGCTTCGGACGGAACATCCGTCCGGATCATCGAGAACATCTCTTTCGACACCCCGCTCACTAAGGACGGGACCTCGAAGAAAGAAATCCAGAAGGCTCTCCACAGACGAGCAAAACCTCTCCGGAACCTCTGGATCCTCGCTTCTCAGCAGGACTACACTGAAGACCTCCAACAAAGCTCAAGAATTTGCTATGGAGGATGCACAGGAGAAGAAGAAGAAATCATTTGAAGAACTGGTACCTTCCTATCTTCATGATTTTGCTGACATCTTTGCAAAGGACGGTCTGAACAAACTCCCTCCCTCACGGCCGGGAGTAGACCACAAGATCGAAACGAAGGAAGGCTTCATTCCGAAGTCTTCTCGAGCCTACCCGCTCTCACCAAAGGAAACCGACGCTGTCAAAGCATTTTTGGACGAACACCTCGCCAAAGATTTCATCCAACCCTCGAAGTCTCCTCAAGCTGCTGGATTCTTCTTTGTCGGCAAGAAGGACGGGTCTCTCCGCCCCTGCCAGGACTACCGATACATCAATGAATGGATGATCAAGAACACATACCCACTCCCTTTGATACCACCCTTGCTTGCGAAACTCAACAAGGCGCAATGGTTCACAAAGGTCGACGTACGCTCAGGATACAACAATATCCTCATTCATCCCGACGACAGGTGGAAGGCCGCGTTCTCCACCTCATACGGGCTCTTTGAGCCCAAGGTAATGTTTTTTGGATTGTGCAATTCACCCACCACCTTCCAAGCTTACATGAACCAGACATTTTCAGAAGAACTGAACGAAGGATGGTTAATCGTCTATATGGACGACATCCTGATCTTTTCAGATAACCTGGACGAACACCGGCAAAGGACCCGCCGAGTGTTGGAGAAACTCCGCAAAGAGTCTCTCTTCCTCAAACTCGAGAAATGTACTTTCGACTCTCAAGAAGTCGAGTACCTCGGTATGATCATTTGACCTGGACAGGTCGCTATGGACACTGCCAAGCTGAAAGGCATCAGCGAATGGCAGCAACCCTCTTCGGTCAAGGACGTGCGGTCCTTTCTCGGATTCTGCAACTTCTACCGTCATTTCATTCCCCACTACTCCGACATCGCACGCCCTCTCCTCGACCTAACCAAGAAGGAGATCCCCTTCTCTTGGTCCGATTCTACCGAAGCTTCATTCCAGCATCTGAAGAAGCTTTTCACCACTGAACCGGTTCTGCGGAACCCCGACTCCTCGCGACAGTTTGCACTTGCAACTGACGCCTCGCTCTTCGCGACCGGAGCAGTCTTGCTCCAGACGGATAGCAATGGGGATTACCACCCCTGCGGCTATCTCTCCCAGTCCCTCAACGCGGCCGAATGGAACTATGAGATCTACGACCGGGAACTCCTTGCCATCATCCGAGCCCTTCAGGCTTGGAGGCACTTCCTCGAAGGAAACCCTCACCCGGTCATTGTCTTCACAGATCACAAGAACCTGATCTATTTCCGCTCCGCACAACGACTCACCCGACGACAGGCCCGGTGGCACCTCACGCTCACCAACTTTGATCTGGAACTTCACCACGTTCCGGGAACAAAGCTCGCTGCACCGGATGCCTTATCCCGCCGTCCGGACCACGCTATAGCTGGTCAGGATAACGAAGATCGTATCCTCCTCCCCAACACCCTGTTCACCCGTCTAATAGACGCTGAACTCGCAGACGAGTTTCAACGACTCTCTGATGACCCCTCCGACCAGACTGTGAAAACAGCCTTGGACGCCCTCTCCGGGGTGTGCGCACCCCCCATGAAGTCTGCACTTTCCGATTGGAGGTTCACCGATGGTGTTCTCTTCTATAAGGATCGTGCCTACGTTCCCCCCGACCTCCGGCATCGCGTGTTGTCTCTACATCATGATCACCCAACCGCCAGGCACCCCGGGCGTTCCGGTACTGAATGGAACATCAAGAAATCCTACTGGTGGCCCAGAATGGGCTCCTTCATTAGGAAATATGTTGATGGCTGCGCCATGTGCCAGCAGATGAAGGTCAACACCCACCCCACGACACCTCCCCTCACCCCGATACCCTCCTCGGCCCTCCGGCCCTTCACTCAGGTTTCAGTTGATTTAATCACCGACCTCCCCGAGAGCGCCAGCTACGATTCTGTCATGGTCGTGGTAGACCATGGGCTTACGAAGGGGGTAATTCTCTGCCCTTGCAGAAAAACCATCACAGCGGAAGGAGTAGCTGAACTTTTCTTCAAGAAAGTGTTCATGCGCTTCGGACTCTATGACAAGATCATCTCGGACCGAGGCCCCCAATTCGCCTCGAAGCTAGCAAAAGAGCTAGGACGACTTCTCAACTACCAAGTCGCACTTTCCACTGCCTACCACCCTCAGACAGATGGCCAGACTGAACGGCTCAACCAAGAGCTCGAAACCTACCTCCGGATCTACTGCTGGACGACTCCCTCCGAATGGGCAAAGCACTTGCCTATGGCCGAATTCGTTCATAACTCCCGACGACACTCCGCCAGAAATGCCTCCCCTTTCTACCTCATGATGGGCTATGAACCACGAGGCATCCCCCATCTCTTCCCCGACTCTACCCTACCAACCGCCGAAGACCGAGTCAAGTCACTCGCCAAGATCCGTGAAGAAGCCCTTGCTTGCCACAGCCTCGCGCAGCAATGCATGGCTGATCGTTCCTATGGCCAGCGTTACAAGCCATGGAATGTTGGTGATAAGGTATGGCTATCCGCCACGAACCTAATCACCGGATTCCCTTCTAGGAAACTCGCCCTGAAACGATATGGACCCTTCCCAATCCAGAAGGTCCTCTCCCCCATCACGTTCCAGCTAAAGCTGCCTGCCAGCTGGCGTATCCACCCCACGTTCCATGCCTCGGAACTTTCCTCCTATCAGGAGACAGACGTGCATGGACCGAATTTCACCGAACCTCCTCCCGATCTTATCGATGGAGAGGAACACTACGAAGTGGAAGCTATCCTCCAACACAAGGGTACCGGATCGCGTCGCCGGTACCTCGTGTCTTGGGTTGGCTATCCTGCCTCCGAACGAACGTGGCTCCCCGAAACAGAATTGAAGTCCGCAGCGGAGCTCCTGAAGGCGTATAAGAAGCGACTCAAGATCGCTTCAATCGCCATCTCATGTTGATCAACAAACACCACTGCAACTTCTCCTACCGTCCTCACTACACGAGGGCTGACCCCACCGACGAACCCATCCACACCGACACCAAAACCTTCCATCGCCAACGAATCCACAATCGCCACCGCCCCACAAAACCCAAACCCATCGACAAACAGCGACCCATTACCCAATACCCCACCTACGCCACTACCCAAGGAAAGACGCTTCACTATGTCGGTCTCAGCGTCGTCTGTTTCCTCGCACCGATCCGCTACCTCTCATGCGTCTGCCTCCGACCGCGACCCGACGAGCCAGCCAACGCATGGCCATGATAGGCCCTCATACACCATCTTCCGACGACCATCCCTTCGCTCAGTTGTCCAAGACAGGCAACAGGCCTACTGGGAAGCAGTCATCTGCGACCCCCAGTATGCGATTCGACTCGACAATTATCTCAACCGCACCAACGACGACATAACCATGAACCTCGTCCAGGCCTTCAGGGCCACCGACGCCCTCACCGGCGATATCGCCAGGATCGACCTGGCTAGGGAAACTTCCCTATCCACCGTCTCGACCAGATATAACCAAGGCAAGATCAAGCGAGCCTTGCTAAATCTGTTTGAGCTCAGGAACTTCCATGCCGCTGTCATGGCCGTCGAGGAGGAGCGGGCATTTAATCCCCCTCCCGACCCGCTCGCAGTCGTCGAGCGTGCTGTCTATGACAGAGCTCCGACCCCCTTCCTTCCCCAACTACCCCGCTCTGAATCACCAGAGCAGATCCCCAACGTCACCCAGTTGACCAATCCCGAGATCGACCGTCTCTATAACGAATACGAACGCGAGCTTTACGCTCCACGTAACCCCTCCCCCATCCTTGATGTCAACACCATCTCTATCACCATCCCAGAGTTGGATGAATGCCCTCCTGAACCACCTATTCTCAACCCCGACGATTGGGTACCCACCGAGGTGGTCCCACACCTTTCCATTGGTTCTCCGGAACCTCTCCCCACTCTGCAATGCCGAAATCACCGTGCTCGTGCATGATCCATCCTGTCCTTAGGACTACCCCTCTCCCATGCGCATCGCCCGCGCACCCAGAACTTCACTAGGCACTATCCCCGCGAGGAAGCCCAGGAAGATGCCATCAACGACGCACGTCGTAATGCCACCGAGACCACCCAGGTCTACCGCAGCAATGTGGTCTGCCGCCAGTGTCGTGTCTACGGACACAAACAGAAACACTGCGCGCAATACTTCTGCCGCATTTGTGGGCAATTTGCCCCAAAACATCTCACTCCTTTCTGCCCTCGACTCGACGGCAGAAAGATCCTTCGCCGTGGAACCTCTTCCGACCGGTTCTACAGGGACATGCAGCAGCTCGAAGCTGCGTATGACCAGGACGCTGCTCGCCTTGAGCAAGAACGCGAAGAGAACGCAATCAAAGCCGCCTCCTGGCTCGAAGATCTCGACTTCGACCCCGCGTGGTATAACAACCAGGACGACTACGTTCCCCTGGACGACGATTAAAGAGTTCGTGGAACTCTACCTTGAAACGGGGGTAATGTTACAAGTAACATCGGCTACATGGCCCCCCTATCATTTTTCCCCTTCGTCCTCGCCCTCGTATGCTTCCGGCTCGTACTTCTCTACCGACTATCCGTTGACCGGATCCTCGGGACCGTTCCCGTCCCTCATCCCCCTCCTATCGCACCAACGTGCGCACGTGCCTTTGGGCTATGACTCGTTCTGACTCGTGCCACCAATGTGGCTTTCCTTATCTTGTCTTATCTTTCCTTTGACTCGTGCATGCTGCACATTGTATCATTTACCGTTGGCTCGTTCCAACGTTTCTCGGTCTCATTCCGCATTCGACCTTACATCACTAATCAGGCTCTGCTACTAGCGTACCTATACCCTTTCCATTTCCCCTTTGCCCTTACCTACAGTACGGTAGCCTTGCCCTTAACCCTTTCCACTTAGTATAAGTAGTCGGTCACTCTGTACTAGATTCCCTAACTTGAATCTACTCAATCTTCCCTCAAACATACTTCTTTCCGAAGCCCCCTCAGCTTCGGTCTCTTGTATCTTTTTCTTAGGTGCTCATCACACCTAAGTCTACCTCGATCGACTACCTCATCGTTCGGACAAGACTGTCCTTACTTTGAGAACGTCAGTGACTTTGAAGACATCCGTCTTAGAAGTCACGTGACACGCGCGTCTCTGATATCTGCCGACTCGACGTCGCCAGTCTCAGTCGCTACACCGGACCCTTCCGGTTACGTCACGAACGTTAGCGGACGACGCCCCTCTTAGGGCTCCGCGTAACAGATCTATTTGAGTGCGTAACACGATGAAGCTCACGGTCTACACGAGGTGTCAGCTGTCATGCTGCACAACTTCAGAAAACTGGCGAATCTTTAATGGCCCTGACAAGGCGAACGAAGGCATTGAATGATCTTTATATAAGCAACTCTGAAGAAAATCCAATGGTTCCTTCGCAACTCAAGAGAACCAGGAAAAAAGTTGCAGTGTTTTTTTTTCAATTTCATTAGAAGTTATCTAGCTAACAAACATTTGTCAGGCCAGCACTCCAAAGGATCCTGTTGAATCTGATTCTCCATGCCCAGAGAGTGAATGTGCTCATCTCTATGTGGCCCACCCTTCAGATAGGTTTGGTTTCAAGCCATTGCAGTCACAGTCCCAGGCAACCCAGCCCACCAGTCACACTCACAAGGAGGCTACCAGCGAAGTCACAGAGTGGGATTCAGAAAAACATAGGAGACAGGGAGACATCGATGATTTTGATGAGTCTGGGAAGAGTGCCGATGAACACGAGATGCAAGATGAAAGACGAGCCATTGTCGATGATTTCAGGGAACAGGATGATGATGAGGACCTGATGGAATTTGATCAAAGCCAGTCTGGACGCGAAGATAAGGATGAAGGTACAATTCCTTATAATGTCCTTAAATGCCATCAAGTGAAGAACGGATGTCATAAGGCTCCTTCCCTGACCCATTTATCAAGCGTGCACCATTGCTTGGAGAAATTATGCATTTGCTGATTTGCTCTAGTACTCTTGCAGCCACACCCTGACACGTAACACCTCTGTTTGTTCAAGGTCTCCTCATCAATGTTCACCCAAATGTGTAAGCTCTTATTACTTGAATTTTGTTGTTTCTGATTTGCTATGCTATAGGTGTCTCGTCAGTCCCCTGAGACACATACTTCTTCCACTTGCCTTAAGTCTCCTCCGCGTGCACATCGAAAAGTGCCATCTGCAAAGGCTGGTTCTGCTCATGGGTGAGTTCAACATTGACATTTACTCCCTCCGCTCGCTCAAAGTATCTGCATCCAAGCATACCTCATGGTTCTACCTCCCACGGATTATCTCCTCCTCGGCGCTCCCCTGCTTGGTCCACAAGCATTTTGGCTCGCTCAAGGCCCCATTCAAGCAGAGGTCGTGATCCCACCTGCCGCAGACTGTCTCCTCATCGCTCTCCCAGTGGCTCAACAACCATTCCCACTCGCTCAAGATCTCCTCGCTTGGGTATATCCCATGGTTCAACCTCCCGTGGTTCAACCTCCCGTGGACTGTCTCCTGGTGGACGTCCCTTGTCGCGACCACCACATAGGCAAGCCACTCAATCTGATCGCAAGCTTTCTCATACCCCTGCTTCAAGCCGCTCTTGCTCTCGTATTCACAGTCCTATGCCCCAATCAAGGAACCAGGATGAACAAACAAACAAGCAGACTAACCCTTCGAAACTGGGATTTTATCCACCATGTTGGCAAGCATTTCTCCAAGCAGCAAAATTAGAAATGCGCTTACAGGCTGTTCTGACGCATCCAATCCCAGAGCATAAGGATGTGCTACAACTTGCGCGAGAAGTCTTAGATGTGGTATTGTGGAAGTACCATTCAAAGAAAATCAAAATAGAGAACGGTAAGTTCTAATTCACCAGAGCATTACTGTCATTTGATGTCCGTTGTCAAGGCTATTTCCCAGAGTACAGGGCACAGATGTCATTCCTCGTAAGTCCTGAGTACTAACTGTGAACATGCTTGCTGATCCATCATCAGCTCTGTGACGACTTGTTCACATTTCGCACGGAGCTCAAGAAAATCATACTGTCTATTGCCAAACAATTATATGGCATCTTCCCCAAAGGCAGCATAGCGCAGAAGGATGCCATACAATGACACGTTGCTGAAGCAGCGTCTAAGCTGATTAAGTCCGGCAACTATCTTCGACTCCCTGACTCATCAGAGGTTAGTGATGACATTATGGGGCAGCGTATTTATTTAAGTATTGATTCATTTAGGGTAAGTACAAGAATTTTGTTTCACAGGTTCTCAAGGACGCATGTCTCAACTTCTACTATGGTCATGGCAAAAAGGCCCTCAAGTTGACTGAAGAATTTCAAAAAAAGATGCCCATCAATGCTCTTGTTCTCGTAGGCGCAGTTGTATGCTTTTAAAAAATTCATTCTTAATGCTGTGCTGATGAGTCAACCGGTGAAGGGTATTCTATCTGGGTTCCGCGATACAGGCACAGACAAAGTCCCTGACCTGTCCACTGATAAATGCAGGTCCGATTTCGACTCCCTACAAAAGTCGGTGGACAAAGTAATGGATGTCCCCGAGCATCGTCAGGAACTGGAAAATATGCTAGAGGAATGGGCTGATGTGGGGATGATGGGTGAGTTTAGGGACAATTCTGACGGTGCCGCAGGTAGCAACGATGTCAACATCATCTTATAGTAGTCTTGTCTTTACTTAGTAGTATCACATTATTTGAATAGAATGGCTGCAGCGCCTTACTAGGCCTGTATAGCATATCCATTATGTTTCGTCTGTGCAGTGCTATTGAGTTTGTGTACTGTGTCTAAACTGTATATTGTGTCTAGCTTGTGTAGTGTGTTCACATTGTGACCATTTGTATAGATTGTAAGGCCTTGTGACAAGCTTGTAAAGGAGGGACTTTGTTGTGACATTGTAAAGCTTGTACAGGGGCTCCCTAGTTTGCTGATGATGCTTCTGTCATCCTGATATACCAATGATATACTGCTCTAAGTTTGATCCCTCCCTGATATTCTGTGCAATACACACAGTCCACTTCGAACGCATGGTCAATGGAAGGAGCTTGTCGAGTCCATCATGGATTCATGTATACATTCAAACTCCTACCCATTGGCAGTGTGTTGAGAGTACATCCGAGTGCCGCCACACAAACCAAATACAACCAACAATAATTCAAACAGCACAACTTTGGACTCTAACACACTTGGCCAACTGGCACAAGTTGTAGTGACGCAAAGGTTGTATCTATTTGTCCCTCCAAAAAATACCTTCAAATAGTCGCCAGTGCACCCGGGCGTGACGCAGGCATATTTGAATAAACCTTTGATATAATTATTATTGAAATATAATATTGATTAAATAAATAAACTGTAAGGGAATTAGCAGCGCAGTGTGAGGAGAACATGAGGCATAGTAGTCAGCAAGTTCATGATAAAATGAGTGCTGTCATGCATGAACTACTGTTGTACAATGAGTCTTGCAAGTAGACTATCAAAGGTGATGCAGTGCCTGCAAGATAATGGCCTGTCCACCTCAACCTTCATGAGCAGCATTCTCGAAAGCAGCCATGTCGAACACCAGGATGCAAAAATCTCACTGACGCCCAACACAAATCAGTTGTGCATGTTGCTGAACGCTAATGAAGACTCACATCCGTCCATATTCTCCTGGGCAATTGCCCTCGTGTGCACAGAGTTGTGTTGAGAAGTTGTTGAACTCGGTCTCCAACAGCACGGCCTTCATTTACTGGCAACATCAGTGACCATGGGAACAACTCAAGATGCTGCTCCTTGATCAACTTTCAACAAAAATGAAAACTGTTGCCCCACACCTTTGGAATCTAATGATGGCCCTTCTTGACAGCAGGGTTAACCACCAGCACAAAATGCCAGGTCCCTTGGCTGTGGGGTCATTTTTCTTCTCAAGCTGATGCAAAGCTGACTGAAGTTGCCAAGTACAGGGGGTGATACCAAATGTACTGTGAATGACCGTCTTCATATTGGTCAAATTTGGTACTTTGAATTGATGGGCCAACATTGTAATGCTAAGGACCCACTTGCATGGTGGCAAGACAACTGCCATACTTATCCGACACTACATCAGATGGCACTAGACTATCTAGGCAATGTCATGGGTATCCGGCACCCACTGTGGGTTGTGGGTGTGGGTACCCAGGGGTATGGGTGGGGGTAGGCACTTAGGATACCCACACCCACACGGTGGGTATGTAGGCAAAAAAATTATCAAAACACAACTTTGAACTTTGGTTCAGTAGTGTTCAATCCCTATGTTACTGATATGTTAACTAATTGATAAGTACTACTACAACATTCATTAAGATATCTAAGTGTGTAGTATTAATCATTCATGTCATACCCATGGGTATACCCTCTATGGGTGTGGGTATGGGTAGCCATCCCTGGTACCTATGAATAAACCCACACCCACACTGGTAGGTGTGGGTTTTTGGTGGGTGTGGGTGGGGGTATCACCACAGATACCCATGGGTATACCCACGTCATTCCCTAAGACTATCTCTCCATCCCAGGTATGCCATGCTTGAATCTTCTTTCAACCAATCAGTACTTATTATCTTGCTCAGCGACATCAACTGCGGTCGAACGTGTCTTCTCACAGGCTCAGCAGCTCCTTCACTTTACTCACAACCAACTCACACCATCAACAATTTGCGCCTTTCTCTGCCCTGGAGCCTGGGGCAGAAGTGATCTTCTGGCGATGGAGGACCTTCTAGCCTCTGTAAGGAGTCAGAAATGGAAGTGAAGCGAAGTTGAGGGTGAGAAGGATGATGAGGAAAAATAGCAATACTTATTTTATTGTCCTAGTCGTTAATACACTCTTCTTGTTAATGTACCCGCGGTGCTTACGGGTCGGTGTGTACCCTCACGGTGTTTACAGTTCGGTGTGTACCTGTACCCGTGGCGGGTGCGGTGTTGGCGGGTACGGGTACAGTGTTGAGTTTCCGACCCGCGGTGTTACCCATGCAGAACCCTAGATACTTAGTACTTACAGTGTTGGTGATAGAGCAACCTGATTGAATGTTGGAACAGACTTATCGTAAATAACGATGTAGTAGCATGATGGGGTAGAAATAATCTGGAAGTGACTACTAGTTTAGTTTAGGGTTCAGGATGCAAGCACTCATATTTTGAACCCTTTGAAACTAGGGCCGTTTGTGACAACTATTTAGTATAATATCGTAGCAGTTTCACAATCATTTGCGCTGTAACTACTAGGATGAGCTACTGATACTGTGTCTGTGTGAACTCTGTGAACCCTTTAAGTCTTCATTCAACACACGATAAATGATTTCAATCAACTAAAATCTTGCAAATCGCAGGCAAACATAAGCCTTTGGTAGTTCCACAATATCTCCAGTCCAAGCCTCACCTCGCTCTTCACTGTGCATGTAGTCAGCTTGCATTGGGCCACAACTCATGCTCGTACCTTGCTGTAAGTATGAGTCGGAATGGTCACAGGTCATAGCCGCATCATGAGGTTTTTGAGGTCTTGCCATAAATTTATGTTCTTATGTTATGCTGAGCCAGGATGTGGGCTTCATGGCGGGTATCAATCAGGGAAACGTAACTCACGACAGAGCATTCTGTACTAGTAGCACAATCCAACCGAGGTGTCACCTTCTCCTCCAGGTCACAGTCTCCGTTTTTGGCCATCGTACCTCAAACCTAGAACGGGCAGCATGGCACTTACTATCACTCAGTGATTCTGTGGCTATAGTGCTTGATAACGGAAATGAAAAATTCAGGGATTGCGCACTTTATTACCACTGGCAATTAGTACTAAATAATGTGACTGGGCAGGCATAATAAGTAGACCGGTGCTAGACAATATTGTGGTCAGTTATCACCAACAACTTTGGGGTAGTGCAGTCACAGCGCAAACCAGCAAAATGCGTGATTTCGAAGGCAGGGATCCGAGAGGCAGGAAAAATATACCCTAGATAGAAAACCAGTTCCTGGTATTTTGTTATCATTCGAATCTTGCTTGGTTCCTTCAATCCTTGTCAAACAAAGTACCGACAATGTGTGAGGTGCCGGTTTCCCTGAGTTGTTCGGAAGTCACACATCTAGCTAGGTGAGATTTTTCAGTTTCTCTTCATCGGGGCCAGTAGCATTGACAGTAACACGCACATATGCATCTCAAACACCCTGTTTGATGACAGAGTAGGGCGCTCAGGTGCATGCACAACTGTTTTGGGGAGAGAAGTACTCTGTATGTACCGAGTCGCAACAAGTCCCATCCAGAAGCACTGCTGGTAGAACTGCCGCTGAAAGACTGGCATTCGATTTGTGAACATGTTCCATTATGTAAAACCTTAATGAAATTCGTGATTTGTGAGATGTATAAAATTACACACAGCCTGTTGCACGCTAACCTGCACCTGGAGGTAGGATCACTTCAATATCCACAAGTAAATGAGGTTCTGACCGACTTGATCTGACCGCACTGATATCCAAATAGGTCCTGAGAGCTTCGTGCCGGCCTTAGTGAGACGCCCATAGTGGATAGAGTCTGGGACATTGTTGGATTGTGCATATGTCGAGGGAAGACGGCTCAAGATCAACTCAAGTCTTAGTCTCAAGATCGAATTGATGCTGTCTAACATGAACCAAACATGCACAAATAAGGGCGCTGCCTTCGAATCGAATCTGAATCGTGTCCAGAAAGTCAGGGATTTGGCCAGTCTGGGACAGAGTCTGGGACAAAGTATGGGAGGAAGTATGGGAGAAAGTATGGGACATCAGCACCTCCAAGCGGAATCCAAACTCCATTCAATGTTTCAAACGACCATGTCAATCAATCCCACCAACGTGCCCGCCAGTCACCGCCGCCTAACATCTCACTGGAATATTAATGCTGCATGTTCATGCTTCGCCTCAACTCTGCCCGCCACAACTCTGCCCGCCACTCTCCTTGCTCACTCATCTCCTTACCCACCCCTCTCCTTTTTGAAATATTCATACTCCACTTGAAGGTGCCGATATTAAGGACCAAATCAATATATGACATAGTAATGAGCTTGTTCTGTTGCTGTATGGCTGCAAAAATACTCGCAACGACCATGGAAGTAGGTCCTTAGTGTCATTACAGACATTAAGGAAGCGTGAGGAACAGTGACGGAAGTCAGTCCTTGGCGCCATTGCAGACAGTGAGGAAGTGTGAGAAACAGTGACGGATACAGAATTATTCATACTCCGCTTGGAGGTGCCGATGGGCTTGCCGATGTCCCAGACTTTGTCCCATACTTTGTCCCAGACTTGCTCCCAGACTTTGTCCCAGACCGGCCATTTCAGAGACGCCCTCATCGTGTCTGGCTCAAATGCAGGACAGCTCAAGGTGTAGGATATAAAACTGACAAGGCATTAGTTTCCCCTCTCCAAGGGCACACCGACTATGTTCTGTCAGTTGCAATCTTGCCGGACAGAAACTGTACCGTCATATGGGGTAGTGCTTCCCCAAGGAATGAATGTGCTCAACTGTAAGCATCGATGCGGTGACTCCAATTACATAAGGCCCGTCTGTCGGAGCTGATGTCTGTAGAGTGAAGGCGCGCGGAGGGATTGGGGGCAGAACTGGAATGCGATGGACGCTTAAGGGAATGACTCCGCGAACGTGACAGAACCCACTCTGTTGGGAGCCGATCTAATACTTTGGACTGCTAATTGTGCACTACATACACTCACTCTAAGTTTGTCGGTTGAAGGTGACTAGCCTACCGGGTACCACGATGGCATCTGATTTTTGTAAGATAGTCAATCCGGTATTCTCTGAACCGAAATCACAGAAAAGAGAGCTCCAGGCAGCGCTCGTTGACAACCATGACATCCTCATATCCCTATACACCTACAACACTCCGGACGACCGTGAAACCGCGTCAATGGGTGCCATTCGAGCCTCATGAAGGGCCCGACAAGGTCCCATCCCTGCCCTTCAAACCCAGGTCCAATGACTTACTCGGCGTCTACAACATCAGCACTCATATCATACCTGCAGCTAATCCCAGAGTCACTCCAAATATTCCAGTTCCCAGGCCACCTCCTCGCTCTTCGAAAAGGCCCGAGAGGGATATCAAGAAACTAGGGCTTGAACTCATGGAACAACAGGCCCAACAAGGAGAGGACCGCTGTTCTGGGGTCACGGACGAAAGGCTGCTGTGGAATTGTGTCAACCGATATGTGAAAAAGGACGGGGAGGACAAAGTCAGAATGAAAGGGATCACTTTATTCCTTGTGCACGCAACAGGTTTTCTGAAGGAAGTGAGTCTTGTGGTGCCTGTTCATGCGTACTAGGAATCTAATCTGATCGTGTTTTAGATGTGGGAGACCACCCTATGCTATCTACTACCTGCCTGTGGTGTCATAGACGAGATATGGTCATGGGAGTCCGTGCAACATGGGGACTCTGCTTTGTTAAACCGACAGAATCTCAGTGGTAGCTGTGAGATGCAGTTTCTCAGACCTCCCGCTTGGATTTAATCGAGAACAGTTGATTGGACTGACAATGCGAGAGACATTGCAAACTTTCTCGTCAATTATATGCCAGAAGAGGTAGAAACATCTCTCCCCATTCAACTTCATCGACTTCCTGCATCCATCGGTGAATCACGTCAAAAGAGTGGTTTCTCCTCCCGGACCTTGGTCGTGGTAGGACACTCGTTTGGAGGTTGCTCGGTGTATGTTATTGGCGGTTCAAGTTCGGAGACCTGTCGAATCTCACAATATTGCACAGGACGTTCACTGCGTTGCATTTCCCTGCCTTGTTCTCTTCGATGATCCTCGTCGACGCGATGATCGATACTTACCAAGAATTTGCGTGGGAACACACGCAGTACTTGGTCGGGGCTTCCTCGATAAGGCGCGATCAATGGCCATCACGGTGATTAAAATTTCGTTACGCTCTTATGTCGGAGTAGTACTGACTATGATTACAGAGAGGACGCTCTGCGTTCCTTTAAATCTTCACCCATGTTCTCCGCTTGGCATCCCGACGTCCTTCAACTCTATGTTGACTTCGGACTGTACGAGGATGATAGCGGAGGCGTCAAATTGAAAACGTCCCCCGTTCACGAGGCCATTGTTCTTGCGAACCCACGAACTAGCCGTGAAACCTGGGAATTGATGGAAACGCTTGACGAAAGTATTGAGCTACTATGGATTCTTCCCGGAAAACTAAGCCAGGATGTGTAAGCCTAGACGGCAGGACCAAGTTCGCTGACTGATAGGCGTTATCCGACAGGTCGATGCTAGTGGAAGTGAGGAAGCAGCGTGCTTGGCGCAGGCCCGCAAATTCATCTAACATCATCTTCAAGTCGTCTGGCCATCTCGTCTGTATCTCGTCTTCAATTGTCTATATGACTAACGTAATTGTGGCTTAGATTCCTCAGGAGTCTCCAGAAGAGCTTGGTATGTTGACATAAAGGACTAATCGTTTGCCATCTAAGTGTCCACACAGCGCAAGTCATCGCCGACTTTCTGCTCAGGAAATACGTTATTTCCTCAGGGAAATCAAAGCTCTAGAATCGTGTATAAGAACGAGCCGGAAACTTTAGGAACCATCACGATACTCAAACTTTGACTAGGCCCTGGATAATACGATTACATAGAGCATGACATTCGTAATTTCCAGAAACTGAAAGTAAATGGGGAGAAAAACGAATCACTAGCTAATTGTGAGTAATTTAACGGAAAGTTATGAGCAACCGTCGCCAAAGATCCATCATATTGTATGCAAGGTTGTAGGAACCCAGAACTTCAAATTCGAGCTCGCTCCAAGACTAAAGTCGCGCCGCTGGTACCTCAGCCTGAGTGAAGCTATAGACGGGCAACGTCTTCCTAAATTCCTCCCAGCACTTATCCGATATGATGGGTGACGATACGTATGGCTCAACCTCCATCGCAGTGAGCAACTCATCCAGGCGAGGCAAAGCTGCCGACAATGCAGCATCCTCCATATGCATGATGGCCTTCCGCGTAAACACGCCATGTTCCACATACCACGCGGCATCTGTCTTGATCGCATTGATGATATACAGATCGGCGAGACATTGGGAGACCCCTTGGTCGACGGCGGCGTCATAGGCCATGCGGTGTCCCATGGATTCGACCATTTGCTGACAACGTGGCTGCGCATATTGCATCGACGCTTGCGTGAAGTCGGATGAGGAGGAAACTGTCTCGGTTGCCTCATCGAATGACGAGATTTCGTGCATCGCAACTTGCAAGTGGCCCATCTGTATGTGTCGAGATAGGTAACTCGTACGTTTGCGCCAGGGTATCTGCCACGAGTCCTACGATTTATCTGTCAGCCTTTGGTTTGCATGGACACGATGTACTGTACTGACGCATGGAAAGTCCTGAGATTTTTATTAGTATCAATCACGTCATCGGAGCAGGCTAAAAGTCACCTGCTTAAAATGTCACCTTCAGCGATGCTAATCCCCCTCATCTCACTCTGCGAAATAGATAAATTCTTGCTCTAACATGACTGTCAGATAGAAGACGTACATAATGGTTGGACAACCGATTATATTCGAAGAGGCCTTGAGCTTCCAGTCTTTCAGACAATGCGCAATTTGCATCTTGTGCATGTTGAACCATGACTGCTTTACAGCAAGCCGCGACACCGTGTCGCACACGAACATCAAGACTCTTGTCCATGAAATGTTCGATGCCCCATTTGTAAAGCGCTCTTAGAATGAATGCCTGAGCGATGGCATGCAGTCAAGGGAGCTGTTGCGTCCGGTTACCGGTATGAAATTATCGGCGAAGGATGTCCATACACGCTGGTGACATGACGATGCTGAAAGTCACGCGCGGCGATGTACGATGACAGCTGGAGATTAGATGTGAGAGGCAGGGTGGAAAACAATACACTTGAACATGAAAAAAAACCGGTTTCTGGTACCTTGTTATCACTTCTTATATACTCGGTTCCTTCTCCTGAGCAAAGTAAGTACCAACAAGACCCCAGACTCTCTTCCCTATAGCTAAATGTTCGGTTCGAATATTCAATATTAATATTCAGACATGGCACCTGCATTCAAGTTTCGTCGTTCTTCCCTGGTCTCTTGTTGCCTTCTTACTATCTTAATTTCTGTTTTACTTGTTTTTCTTCGTTAGTGTCTCTCTTTCGTTACTATTTTTACTAATACTATCGTTGCTGATGTGGCTAGTGTTGCTGCGAAGTGAACTGAAGCGAATCGCAGTGAAAATTACACTTCGGTAGACTCCGACCATCGAGTTTCTTCGGAACAACGAAGTCAATTGAAGCCCGAAGTGTGAGACTTCGGTTGACGTCATTGACATCGAACTTGTAAGGTCTACCGAAGTGTCTCAAATTTCTACTTCGATTCGCTTTAACTCCCGGCGGGCTGTATATGCATTGTTTTAAATTAAAATGATGTGTACAGCCTGCCGGGATGATCAAAGCCTTAACGTTTAACCCCGAACTATCAGTTGTGAGGCACAGAGCATTAGTATGTTCAACATGTACAATGTTAGCATGTTTGCCTGCAAGGTCTCAATCGTTTATTTGTTACCGAAGAATTAGTAGAGACATTTGGAGGTACTGGATATCTGAGTTGGATGTGCTACTAGTACTCAAACTCAAGAGTTTTCGCCACGGCTTGGCATCCGAATGGTGGCGGAGTGGTGACAGAGCATCGTACACTCAGATACAAGATACAGGCCGTAATACACTCACCGATACATTAGTCTTCTGATAGAATTTACAGATACCACCGGGTATTGGAGGCCATGCCCATACGCGGCGACAACCCGTACCATTCATTAGGTCAGGCGCACAACAAAGTTAAGTTAGATGAGGGTGTATATGAAGTGTCAGTGGCACTGGCACTTCGCACAACTACGTGACGCCAAATACATTTACCAAGTTAGGATTCCAGCCACGGCCGGGAATGGGTCTCAGAATTCCGATCCTAGTACCCGTACCCGTAATCCCCATGACTCGATGAGTTACCCGTACCTGTGCATATCCCGAGCATTGCCGCGTCCTTCAGGCATTTTTTCTAAAGGTATTTGGGTATCATATATAACATACGAGAGTCAGAGAAACCAAATCAACACACTCATTGCATCATGACACCCACGTCGCAGCTCTGTCAATCAGATCTATTCAAAAAACGCTCAGAGGTCCTCAGCCGCGAGGCTCGAGTGGATCTTTCGTACGAGAGGGCCAAAGCCATCGGCTTAGCACTCGGTGCATATCAACCTTTTCTGTTCACGGGACACGTCTTGATGTTATATTTCAGGCATCACTCTTCATGATACTTTGCATCTAACGCAAAAGTTTTGGGACATGCACACGGACCCAATCATGGTCCTAGATGGGGCCGCGTCCACGTTGCTGACCATTCAGTACAATCTGGTCGCAGGAACCCTTGCAAAATATGCTGCGACTACTAGACCTGATTTGGTCTCCCTCGTCGAGGACATTCTTCGATGGAATGTCAGGTAAGCTAACCTTGATGTATATTTTATGAGGGACTGCATGATCTTTTGCAGTGGCCAATTCTGCCTTACCGAGCTGGGGAGAGGCCTAGACATCTTCCGAATGAAGACATCAGCGACACTTCTGCCAACAGGTGAATTCGATCTTCATACGCCGTTGCCCTCGGATGCCAAGTACGAGATCACTATATCCTCGAGACCTGTTAATCATTGTAGCACAGGTTTATGCCACCAACCGTTCCAGTCAAAGGTCTTCCATGCGTCGCCATTGTTTTCGCACAACTGTACGTGGATGGCGAATGTCGTGGACCTCGACCGTTTCTTGTGAATCTGAACGACGGATATGATATGTGCAACGGGGTGACTTCAATGCAAGTGCTTTTTTAAATTCGTTCCATCGATTTCGAACTGATTTTTCCATGACTATTAGGTTGCTACCACCTAGAGGAGGCTCGTCCCCCGTCAACCATGCGCTCACAAGCTTCAATCACGTCCGCTTACCGCATTCGGCCCTTCTCGGGGACCTCGCCAAGTCCAACACAATGCATCGCGACTTCATGTCGTCTATATGGCGCGTTGCGGTCGGGTCGCTAGCGATTGGCTCAATTGCAATACCTAATCTTCAGGTGGGATCGTACATCGCTGCGCGTTACTTTCAGCGTCGTCATGTCACCAGCGTGTATGGAAGTCCTTCGCCAATAATTTCATACCGGACGCAACAGCTCCCGTTACTCCATGCCATCGCTCAGGCGTCCGTTTTAAGAGCGCTTTACAAATGGGGCATCGAACGGTTCATGGACAAGAATCTTGATGTTCGTGTGCGACACGGCGTCGCGGCTTGCTGTAAAGCAGTCATGATTCAACATGCACAAGTTGCAAATTACGCACTGTCTGAAAGACTCGGAGCTCAAGGCCTCTTCGAATATAATCGGTTGTCCAACCTTTATGTATGCCTTCTCTTGGACAGTCATGTTAGAGCAAGAATTTATTTGTTTCGCAGAGTGACGTGAGGGGAATTAGCATCGCTGAAGGTGACATTTTAGGTAGGTGGCTTTTAGCCTTCTCCGGTTACGTGATGCTGATCAAATATTCCAGGACTTTCCATGCGTCAGTGCAGTACATCGACGTTCGCGCATACCAGATACTTACAGATAAATTATAGGGCTCGTGGCAGATACCCTGGCGCAAACGTACGAGCTACCTCTCTCGACACACCCAGATGGACCACTTGCATTGCACGAAATCTCGTTATTCGACGAGGCAACCGAGACAGTTTCCTCCTCATCCGATTTCACGCAAGGGTTTATGCAATATGTGCAGCCGCGCTGTCAGCTGATGGTCGAATCTATGGGACACCGTATGGCCTATGATGCCGCTGTCGACCAAAGGGTTTCCCAATGTCTCGTCGATCTGTATCTCATCAACGCGATCAAGACAGATGCCGCGTGGTATATAGAACGTGGCATGTTTACGCGGAAGGCCATCGTGCACATGGAGGATGTTGCGTTGTCGGCAGCTTTGCCTCGCCTGGATGAGTTGCTCACTGCGATGGAGGTTGGGCCATACGTGTCATCACCCATCATATCGGATAAGTGCTGGGAGGAATTTAGAAAGATGTTGCCTGTCTATAGCCCCCCTCGGGCTGAGGCGCCAGCGCAGCCGACTTTGATTTTGGAGCGAGCTCGAATGTAAAGTTCCGGGTTGCTGTAGCCCTGCATAAATATAGCATAGATTTTTGGCGACAGTTGCTCATAACTTTCCGTCAAGTTACTCATAAGTAGCCAATGATTCGTTTTTCTCCCCATTTACTCTTCCAGGGCAGATTCGTGCCGATAACCCTTAGCTGCAACAACCCAGTGCAAGGCTGTTTCAACGCGTCTCGGAAAATCTTGACGCCAGTCTGAAGTTTTCTATTGCAAGTGACAAATCGACAGGGTGTTGTAGAATCTGGTAATGAGAAAGATGAGCATCCTCCAGTCGAACATAGCTGTGATATCTATTCGGGTACAGCGGTGGCAAAACTGCCAATTGTTCTTGGCAGAGATGAATAGCCTCCTCGATATCTCTGTTCTTCAGATTCTCCATGAAACAAGAGCGGAGTACCAAGCTCAAATTGTGAAGATATGTGTGGCGCTGTGGATCGTCATACCCTCGATTTTTATGTTGGCATGAGCACTTACTTTTCGTTATACACCCACTCTACAATCCTCCATCGTCCCAGGTCTATAAAACAATCTGTTCAGATGTTCGTTTCGCATGAAGTTGAGCGTTTCGGTATTGCGTCGGAGAATGCCCAGCTCGTTGGTGGTCTAGCAGAACTTGCATATCCAGTTCGTGCTGGTGATTTCGAAGAGAAACATGTCATTGTCTTGAAGTTTGGTAACGACTCCGGATCTGAGCTGGAGGGGTATAGAACGGTGAAAAGACAACATGTCTTCTTACGGATCCATCCGATTTAACGCACTGAAGCGCTCATCTCGACTCCAACTCGTTCGACCTCAGGCTGGCATTCAAGTTTGGTGATAGAGCATGCATCGCGATGTGGCCCAGGACACCATTGAAATTCGGTGACAAGCTCCATGGTACGAGCTGCCTTTAAATTATCAACATTGGACTTCGAATTGACTTCGAATGCATTGTAGTACTGCCATCAGCCGCTTCACGGGTTAGTTCTGCAGAATATGGACAATTGTCGAACTGGGTATTATCGCCTTCCACTATGTTTCCCAGTAACTGGTACATTATCGTTTGGTCCCTTTCCAAGGTCAACAGTTCGTCCACCGTTTATGCTATATATGCGACGGGTGACGGGCGTCCTTTCGATTCTTCTGACGTACCTGTCCAGATCTAATGGCCAGCATGCCGTGTTACCTACGCTATTCACCGGAGGTCTGGGCGGTGCGGCGATATTAGGACTCAGAATATCAGTCTATGAACAAGCAACAGCGCATGAACCTATAGCAATTATACCGCATCAACACCAGCAAAACCTATTGGAAATTGTTAAGCACATATGCGTGTTTGTAGCAGGAGCACTTACTTTTCGTTATGCACCCACTCCACGTTCTTTGTCGTCCCTGGTCCATACCACACAATCTGTGGCAAATGTTCGCTTCGTATGAAGGTCTGTCCACCTGTCTTCTCCGCAATGTCCCTCAATCCTGCTCGCAAATTCCACACCTCCACTTTCCGAATTCCGCTTCGTCTAGCTGCCTGCTTAATCTTTGCGATCAATCCAGGAAACGTGTCTT